TGGGGGGGGGGCAATGGGGGGATATGGACAAATATGTAATACCTTAATCAATAAAAAAATTGAAAAAAATAAGTTAAAAAAATAAAAACTGATAGCTAAAAAAAATAAAAAAAATAAAAAAACTGTGGTACATTTACACAATGGAATACAAATTAAAAAAATAAAAACTGATAGCTAAAATTAAAAAATAAAAAACTGGTACATTTACACAATGAAATACAATGCTGCTGTAAAAAAGAAAGAACTCTTACCGTTCACAGCATGAATCTCTTGAAAACTAGGCAGATACATCAACCTTCAGCTTTCTTTACTATAGGCACAACTGGATAGAGCTGAGCAACTCTTGCTGCCTTTAACTGACTCCAGTTCACTACCCACTTGGATTTGTCTCATTTGTTTTATCCACCTGGGCCCTCTAGGTATTTGAGCTTGCAATTCCTGGTCTACTGGTACTATATCTGCTTTAATGACAATAACAATAAAAGCAGTAACAAAAAATAATAGCACACTGAGCATTTAGTTCCAGGCCGTTCTAAGTAAGCCACAACTAACTCACTATTTGAGGAAGTCACTACTGATATACCATTTTACATATTAAAGGACCTGCCCAAAAGTCAATAGCCAGCACGTGGGATAGGTAAGATAACCCATACATAAATGTGCAGTTAGCCAAAAATATCCCAAATTAAACAGTAAGATTCTATATGAACCTCTTTTTCTAAAAAGAAGCCCCTCTACTTCAACCACAAAGACTTGCGCTTTTCTGCAGTGGATGCACACACACACACCCCTGTGCGACTCTGTGTACCTATGCGAAACTAAGGCAACTCGAGTTTCCTCTCTCCACAAGGCATGTGGTAGTGGTAGACTAGTCCTTACCTTTATCTGCAGAAAACCTAAAATGCACAGAAAGGACTAATTGCAAGAAATGTATGTTCTGACTGGAGATAGGCAATGCACTCAAAGGTATTTAAGATTTAAAAAGAAACAAGTGGGTGGGTATAAACGAAAGTTGTAGAGCATATCCAAGGCTGAGGGGACGCAAGGAGCAGGAAAACATTTGGCAGTGTTTCAGGAAGGGTTTGGAGGTGTGTTAAGATGTGTCTGTTAAGCAGAGGTTTCCCAGAGGTCACCCTGGGCACTCTGGGCTATCTTCTAAATCATCACTGGCGTGAAAGTTGACTTGGCTGAAGAAACATTCAGTGGAATAAACAGAATGAGAGAATTTGAAAGATCAGAGAGTATCTGACTACCTTGGAAAAAGCAAGGATTAGGGGGGAAGAAGCATGTGGGTCCTAAAGATGTTGATGCATGAAAGCATAAAAGTACGAGGCAGTCATGAAATAGGAAAAAAATACTTGAGTCAAGATGGAAATGGCACAAAGTATTAAAATCAAGAATGTGGCGCTTACAGGCGAGATTTCAGAGGTGGTAGGGATGGTGAAGTCACCGTAAAGGGGAGGACCATGGGAGCAGGTGGCTAGGGATATAGTAGACATAGAGAAACTTTAAAGGCAAGGAAGTCCAGAAACTGAAAAATGATGAGGAATGTATGCAAAATATTTAGAACTCAGCTAATCTTTTAGAAATGCCAATCCTAAAAAGTAAAACTTGGAAATATAGGCAACATATTTGTTGTCTGCATATTAGAAGGATTCAGGTGAAATTCTGCCTGACTGGCAGGCAGTGCACACGAACACATCGTATTGAATGCTGCAGAAACACGGCACAAAGGCAGATGGCAGTTCTGCACCCTACCTCCCTTCACCATGCCGACAGGAGTTACTTCTGCTTGAAGGTAGTTAGGTGTCTTGTTAACTACTTTTGTTAAAAGTAAATAAAACAGTGAGGAGCAAAAAGATCCAAATAAGTAGAATAGGGGGGCAAAAGGATTGGAGGAGGAGAGGATATTTCTTTATTTACATGGACTTTATTTTTACTTATACTCAAGCTTTTAAACAACAAAAATAGAAAACATTTTGAATCAGAGTATGCCAGAAAGCCAAACATTAAGATGGTGGCCCCACTATTTTTGAACCCAGACATGGGTTAAAATGGATTTTATGAACTTTTAAAGGGAACAATTACAAGTAATCTACTTAGTAAGTAGGGTTAAATGTCTGTCAACAAATCTAAAATTTCAGAGGCAATATTTTATTTCAAAAGTAATAAATAATATGGTCACATAATAAATGGTGAATAATGATGGAAACTCTGAAAATTCTTATAAAAACTTGTAATTATTTTACAATTAGGCTGTTCACATTTCTTATGACTTTATGTTTTCCAATGACATATTAATGCAGATTAAAAATTAAAAACCTTAATTCACCAACAGTGACATAACTTCAAGGCTGAGAAAAAGCACTAGTCACAAAGAATTTCAAGTAAACATTAATCTAGCAGTCCAAAAAGAGCTGTTATCAATGTGAGAAGTCCTAATTATAAATAATATAGCTGTGTATTTGTCTAAAGACCAATATAGACCTAACTTCAGCAAAACACTTGTGAAAAAAATTATATATACCTCTTTTGTTCAAGACACAATATAAAACTTGAAATAATTCCTCTATTTAATAAAAAAAGGAGACTCCTCAAGAAGGTTCATAGCATCTCATTAACAATGCAAAAATGTTAAACTGAAATGGCTTATTTATTTTGGTCAGTAAAAATTATAACAGTTCTATGACAACTGGGAACATTATCAGAAAAAAATCTGTCAATGAAAAAAATCACTGATTCAGTAAGTATTTAATCATTTTATTAACAAAATATATGCCAGAAATACATCCCTCTCTGGTGAAACTTTTCAAATAATTTTATGTGGAGAGCCTTGAGATGTATCAATTATATAAACCATATTAAAATGAAAACATTTTTAAAATGTACAATACAAACCAGTACTTTGTACAATTCTCTATAAAGTTCAATAATCAATGTAAAAAATAATTTGTTTTAACTGAATATAAGGCATGTTCAGTTTCTGTAATTTTGTAGAATTACTTTTTTTGCTTTGTCGGAGACTTCTCTCTCCGCCGGTCCTGATTTTTCTTTGATTCCCTGGATTGTTCAGAGTATCTGCTAGATTTTTCCCATCGCCTCTCAGCACCATTCTGATACCTATCTTCATCGCTTCTAGAGTCTGAATGTTTTCTATTCTTTTCTCTTGACTTTGATCTGTCTTTTCTTCTAAATTTTTCACTGTCCTTATTTCGGTATCTATGCTCATTTTCAGAAAAAGAATTTCTTCTCTCTCCTCTCCTCTTTTTCAGATCACCATACTCATTTTCCAAATCTAGATGCATTTCTTGGTCTCTATCATTCATGACTCTACTGTAACTATTTCGTTCAGAAGGAACACCTCTGTCTGAAGTGTATTTTGTTACAGGATCTCTCCAATTTGGATCCCTTGAATTTTTATCTCTGAGTTTTTCTGATCTCCTTTCTCTTTCAGTCCTTGTTTCTTGGTGCCTTTGCTCTGATCTTCTTTCTTCTTGCTTCCTATCATGTATTTGTTGTTTCCTGATCAGTTTATCTACTTCTTTGCTTCTGGTGCTCCCTTGTCCCTTCTTTCTTATAGCTTTAGCTGCACATGTAAAATGAAATATAGTTAGTTTTAACTTTAATCTTAATTTCATGATTTAACAATCACATTCATTAATATAATGTAGGTTTACTAATTCAGATAAACTGGATTCAAAGCTAAATTTATTGAATGAAAAGCCTAATGACAGAACATTTCACAAAATATTTGAGAGTATACAATATGTCAGCATTAGTTACTGAAGTATTGTTTTGATCGTTAGACTCAAAATAGTGAACAGGAACTTTAATTACAGCAAATGTTGTAAAATCTTTTATGAAGTAACTAAAATAAAACATTTCCACTTACAAATTTTATTCAAAAACAGAAATTCCAGTCCATGTGAATTATTGATACAAAATATTATGTCAGATCTGGTACATAATCAAAATACTAATGATCGATCACACACACCAGCAACAATCACTTCCTAAGGTGAGAAGAAGTGGGATGACTGGGTTGGCCTAACAGCATAAATATATGTATTTCAAATAAACTTCTTCCTATAAAAACAAGTTTTGCTCTCCAGTGCTATTAGAGAAGCACCAGCTGTACCAGTAGGAGGAGCCAGGGTAAGATATACAATCACAGGCTTCATATGAGCCACTATGGCTTGATTTTGAAAAAAGCCTTGAACATCTTATTTTACTGATGTCATCACAAATATAAATGTTAATTAATTACAATAAAATAACTTACCATTTTAAGCTATAAAACAAATTTAACTGCTTTATCTGTGTTACTTAGTTTGGGTACATAAATCAAAGATGCTGAGATGACCAAAATTTCTGTTGCATTCATATGTGTACAGAAAGAAGAAAACAGGGTGGAAGATCACCTACCCTCATCCTACTCCACCTAAATCTCTGTACCAACCTGTATTTCCTCGGGCAAATGCCTACCCTTGACAGTCAGTCGGTTTGCCACTAAGGATTTATTTCTCTGGTTCCTATCAAACAACTCAGCTGAGCTGCAGCTACCCAAGCAGAA